TTTTTTTTATAATTTCTTTTTCTGTGCTGAGAAAACCCGTCTGCAATAGGAACACTCAAAAATCGGCCGAGTGATTTTCGAATAAAAACTACATTTCTCATTCAAAACTCGTAGAAATAAGTCAAAATAGATTAAAAACTATGGAGGATTCGATGGAAATGGTTTCTAGATATACAGGAGACTACTATAGGGATTTTAGAAAAACCTCGAAGCCAAAAAAACGAATTCACCCAAAGCTTCCTTATACAATGTGAAAAAGTCCACTGAAATATGGTGACATCATGCCCACACATACGAATGGGAGATATGTGCACGGATGAAGGACGTTTTTCGACACAAAGAGCGAAGATTTCTTTTATTGCTAAAGACTAATCCAAACTTACTCAAATTTTAAATTGGTTCTTCACGTAATTCAAAATGCCAAAAGTCGGAAGACGAAGAAGTCATACACGCAATATGAATTCAATAAGATCTATAGAAAGTATTGAATCGAATGAACCAAAAACATCGTCGGGTGAAGAAGAAGAAATCGTGATTAACTCAGATGATGATATTGATCGGATTCATTTTTCGAATGAATCTGTATTAAATGATATCAGTGATCTATTTTCGTTTTGTAAAGAACAAATTAATGCTCGTTTCGTCAGCATGCTTCTCTATATGTCACTACGTCATCTTGGTCATTCATGGAGAGATGTCGAGTCATTCTTAACATCAATTGGTGGTATGACCGTAAAAACATCTCACAAATGGGCAAATATTTTAGTAAACAAAGATTTTGATGAATTCACAAAGGATGATAGAGGAGGGAAAAGATTTGCTTCATTTTGGAATTGTTATCCAGATTTAGAATTAGAAGCAACACAATTTGTTATTGAAGAATGTTCAAAAAAAAGAATCATCATTCATAGCTGAAACCTTGGCACGATTCGTTGATGATCGTTTTTATGAATTAAATAATCTTAAAAAAGTCTATCAAGGATTAATCAGATCAGTCGCAAGTTGTAAATTAGATTTACGTCGATTTGGTGCAAAATTTAGAGCAAATTCGAAACGGCCATATTTTTTAGGACATGAACGAGAAGATGTGGTGAAACAACGAGAACAATTTGTCAAATATTTTATTGAACGAGAAGACCATTTTTATACGATTACAAATGATGCAGTGCCTCAGTTGAAAATGCCAACAGCAGCTCCAACAATTTTGCTTTGCAAGTGCTTGTTTTTCTCTCTTAACCATAAAACTCGTCCATATGTTGTTTTTGCATTCCTCTGTTGTAGGTCATGATGAAAGTGCATATAAATCTGGCGAAACGACAGCTAAAAGATGGATCATGTCTGATAATGCACCGTTTTACAATAAAGGCAGAGGAAGAAGCATCATGTCTTCGGATCTATTAATCATACATCCAAGTGACCCATTCTTTTCATTGACCGACAAAAAATACGGACAAGCATTGAAAAAATATCCAAATTTAATAGATGATTGTGATATAATTTATGAAAAGAACAATGCTTCTGCTACAATCAACATCCGTAGTGATAATTATTTTGACAATCAAAATATTCTAAGTCAATTTAAACGTCTATTTCAATTATTACCATTCAAAGAAGAATACAAATGTTAGCGTCAACAGATGTCACTCTATGACGCTAACTCTGTTTGACTATTTGTTATTGGTTTTCTCTCCTCCTTAATGAATCTTCTCTTGATATTCTCCAGTTGTTTGTTTTTTCTTCGTTAACCACACTTCTTTCTCCTCATCATTATCTTATATTATTGTTATATCCAAGGGGGAAAGTGCAGATTTGGAATTCCCAGAACCTCGGCACCTTCTCAGCACCTCAGCACCTGTTCAGCACCTCAGCACCTTCTCGACACCTTCTCAGCACCTCAGCACCTGTTCAGCACCTCAGCACCTTCTCGACACCTTCTCAGCACCTTTTCAGTACCTTTTTGATGCTGTAACTTAGTTTAATTATACGGCAATTATTCACAAAAAAACGAACTTTATTTTCAATAGTAAAGATGTTTTGCCTCAAATACACACACAATGTGAAAATCTACGTTTTTAAACAAAAATAAGTAACAAAATGATTTCATAATACTGGATAGAGACAACAAAAAAAACTATTTTGAGCAAAAAAGATGTCATTTTTCTTATGATTCTTTAACACGTTCTACTCGATCACTTGACAGACGAGTTTTACTCGTTGATAATAGCCAACAGGCTGTTTGTTTGT